TATATATATATATATATATATATATATATATATATATATATATATATATACACAAACACACACACACACACTGTGGGAGGATCGCAAGAGGACGCATGAGTGTCATATCGGGTGATAAAAACATATTTAAATGACTCTATTAAAAGGCAGAAGCAGCCGCTACTCAGTGCCGCTCCAAGCCACCAGCAGCTCAAAATTTTGAATCGCTACTAAACTCCACTTCCTCATTTTGCTGCTGCTTATATAGCGCTCTAAAAATAGCGCACCAACCACACCACTGAGGGCTGCGCCAGATCCGACTGCATTGGTCAGGCGCTGGTTGTAGGCGGGCCGTGCGCTCCGCACTCCGATTGGTTCCCGTTCAAAACGTAATGTAATCACATGGGGGGAGTTGGTCTGTAATTTTGAATCGGGGGGGAAGTTTACAGTGCGCTGACAGACTTTTGAGTGAGTTCAGTGTGGAGCGCTCCTCGGTGCGTCACACGCTTAGAGAGCCAGCAGTGAAGTGCGCGTCTATTCCAGGCTGTCATACATGCACATACAGCAGAGAGCCCAGCTTCTTTCCAAATACAGCATTCTTCTTCTTCTTCTTCTTTTTCACACGCTTCACTTCGCTTCTTGTTTCGGCTGAGACTCGGGAAGGAAATGGATGTCATTCCGATGTGCAGCATCTTCCAGGAGCTCCAGATTGTGCACGACACGGGATACTTTTCTGCTTTACCGTCGCTGGAAGAGTACTGGCAGCAGGTAAGGAGACAACACAACCCGCGGCTGCGTAACTGCTTAACGAGGAGCGCAGGGAATGTGCGTAATTAGATTTGTGGAAAGCGTGTTTTGCGGTGACAGCTGCCTGTCTCTGTTAAAAGTAGGCGGTTTTAGGGAAGTCATGCAAGTTCCCTTAGAGGCGCTGCACTTTAACTGAGCAAAATAATAAAAAAAGCAATTTTCTTTTATAGGTTTACATGGCTGTAAAAAATAATAAAAAAACGAATAACAAAACTTTTCAAACCGTCATACCCTCTGTTAAGTGCAACGTAGCAGAAATAATCCGAATGATTTGCACGTTTGCTGTGTTCTTGCTCTGTTGCACCATGCTTTATGTTTTCCTGCTGCGGTTTTGCTCATGCAAATATTCATGTAGACGATTTTGACTCATCGGCATGCAACATAATGAAAACACGCCGAGCTGCAGATAAAACGGCTGAATGGCGAGCCGTGAGTCTTTGCGCGTATCTCCTCCTCCTGTTACGCCTTCTTTCCTTCTCTCGCGTTCTGTCTCTTTCTCTCTCTCTTTCTATCTCTCTCTCTCACCCGCACGCGTACACACACAGCACTCACACACATACTGGCAAACACACATAAGAGTGACAGGTTGAGAGGGAATGACAGCGGAGGCTGTTTTTGCTCCAGTGTGGCTCGGCCAGGCGGACCCGTTGGAGTTTCAGGCTGGAGAAAGTCTCGTCTTGTTCACGTTGTTGGAACATGAAATGATTCAGCTTTGCTCTCCTTTTTTCAGTCTCTCCGTTTATCAGACCCTTTGCACGCTCCTTGCTCCAAGTCGCTCTCTCAGGCATTTAAAGCTCGCTTGGGATTTGTCCAGCGCTGCTGACAGGGACAGGGGCGCATCCACAAAGTTTGTAACGGGCACCACTGGTCATCTTTAGCTGGCATATCAGAAACAAATCAGGGAGTTTGAAATCTAAGTCAAATAAAAAAAAAAGAAAATATACAATCCTCCTTTGAAAAACCTAATCTTCATTTAGTTAATATTTTGTGTATATTCCCAAAATCAGCAAATTAACATTTGGCTTTTTAAGGCAAAATGTGCTGTTTACAAATTAAAAACTGTATGTGCAATAAATGTTGAGGTAAATATGTGATCCTGGTGTCATTTGAGGGAGGGAGGGGCCACGAGTGAGTGACAAGTGATAGACATTGAAAAATGGTTCAATGAAGGACTAAAGAAGAAAACATGTTAACATTCACTATCAACTGATACTTCATTAAGTTTCTTATTCCCCTGTTGAAAAAATGCATGAAATTTTACAATTTACATTTTAAAAATATATTAACCAACAAAATCACCTCAGTAAACACCAGGATAAAGTTAGAGACATATGTCTGATTCCATAAAATGCATGAAATCAAAATAAAATCAATGACATGAATGAATGAATGAATGAATGAATGAATGAAATCAATTCATTGATTTCATGTGTTCATTGATTTTGGCTTTTTGAAACTACCACTTCTATCAGCAAACCTGCAGCATATTTGTTTGTATTAGATAGTCTTTAGGGGGGAATCAGAATTGGTCATTACAGGAAATTAGAATCAGCCAGGAAAACTCCCATTAGTTCGTCGCTAGAGACCCAGAGGCCAGTGAGTTTCTATCATTAGCCATGGCTGTCCTTTATATTCCCTTGGTGGCGCCATTTGAATTCAGTTCATTCGTTTCCCTTTCTAAGTTACTCCAACCATGTCTGTCATTTAAACTTAGTTTATTCTTTATAGGTCTATATGTGTAGGTTGTTTGAAACCAGATAAATGTAAATCACATCTGTACCATTGTAAAATCCACAGTAGTCTTAGTTTAGTTTTTAAAAGTAATATCACTTAAGTTGGCTACACAAAAATATGTTTGACCATTTCTTTGCCTATTTCAGTGCACTTTGTATGTTAAAAATCAACCAAAGAAAGGATGCTCTCCTCTCAGTTGACACAGATAAATATTTTCCTAATAGATACCAAGTTGAGATTTTTGAAAATGCTGAAAGTGTATCAAATATCATGCTAGTGGTTGATACATGCACAGGCCTAAATTGTTGAGAGATCTTATTTTTGATGCAGTCAGTCAATATGGAAAAAAGTGAATGAAAAGATTCTTCATTATTTGGCTTTTTGATAACCGATGAGAGCAGATCAAGAAGAACAGCCAGCTCCCATCTCTGTCTCTCCCTCATTGTTTCTAATAGCTATAATTAATTTTCTATGAAATTCTAACCAAGTTCTCAATTTGCTTGGACTCAGTCACAATTTTTCCGTCCAAGTATGAGACAGAATCATTTTACTGAGTTCCACCACAGCAGCGTTTGAATGAAAACTGAAATGTGCCCCATCACTAGAAACTGCCTGTAAGCAGATGCCACTTCTGGCCTGCGCTCTCGAGCTGCACAGGGTTAAGGAAGTGCTCTCTCACTTCCTTTTTGCAAAAAAAAAAGAAAGAAATGAGCCTTCAATCCAGAGCGGCTCTTGCAGTATTCATGCCAGGCTCTTTATGGACCACCACGAACCAGACCTCCCTCCTCCCAGTCCCCTGTGTGCTATGTTATTTCTAGCGATGCCTCCAAATGCATTATTAAATCCACATTATGCTAAATAATTGATGGATTTAAAAGATCTACAAGCACTTCTCTAACTCAACGAGGGGGCGGCTCTGTAGCATATGTAAATTTCATGACCAACCTTGGCACGCGCCTACACACACACACACATCTTTGCGCGCTTGCACCACAGTGCATGCGTTTACGGGCAAGAGCACCTTGTTCTTGCATGCTCTCAGGACGATACGTGGTGCTTGTAATCCTCCCTGATACAGCCTCAGAGGGCACCCTGAGAGTGCACTTCTGCATAGGACATTGCGTCTTGTCTCATTCCTGCAAGCAGAGAGGAAGTGTAACCTGTAGCATTGCCTCAGCGCATTTCTTCCTCCTGCTGCTGCTAAGAGAGAAAAAGCACAACACAGGAGGACACCAGAGTTTCCTGTAAAAATAAACATGAGTTTTGGTCATTTTAGGGATTTTCCAGCTCAGCAGAAGTATTCTATTACAAGCCTTTAGGTTCTTTGCACCAGCAAACTCATTGCTATCTTGTCCTCTCTCCACGCAGACATGCCTGGAGCTGGAAAGGTACCTCCAGAGCGAGCCCTATGTCTCGGCCACTGACCTCAAGTTTGATAACCAGGAGGACCTGTGGAGCAAGCTCATGCTCGCCTGCGGGGACAAGTCAAATGAGGCGGACCCAAAGAGCGGCCACATCAAGGAGGAGGTGGACAGTCACGACATCCAGCCTCTTGACGTCGGCGGTTTCAACTCCGACGCCAGCAGCGAGGCCTCGGACAGCTCGGAGGAGCTCTCCCCGACCCTTGACTTCTCCTCTGGCTCTTTGACTGACATGCTGGGTGACAGCGGAGAAGACTTGGGCTCTGCCATCATCAGCACGCCGCCCTCATCTCCTGAGCTCAGCAAGGAAGGCTCTGTGGCCCAGGTGTGGAGTGGGATACAGACAGTGCTAAACTCACCGGGGAAAATAAGGACTGGGGGCACAGAGAGGTCAGTGGAGAGGTCAGGGATGACCAGCGGGGAAACGTCGCCTGACGGAAGGAGGCGGGTGCACAGGTGCCACTTCAACGGATGCAGGAAGGTGTACACCAAGAGCTCGCACCTCAAAGCACACCAGCGCACACACACAGGTAAATACACTCAACAATGAAACCATTCAATACAAAATTCTTGCTCAAATACTCCCACATAGTTTGAATAGTTTTTCAGAAGGAATGCCCTCAACTGTGACCTAATTCACACAGTGAAACGTGACTTGGTGCAGAAGGGAGGGGAGAGATGAGAGGGGGGAGGGATGTCCTTTTGTGACCAAGCGGGACCCAGAGGATGTGGATCCTGAAAACAAATCATCAGTTCTCAGATTTCACCATGGGAAAAGACTCAGAAACTTGGTCGTATGCATTCAATTTAAAAATAAAGTCACAGAGAGATGGCGTTTAATTATGGGAAGCTGACATTTGCAGTGTTTTGTAGGGGGTTCAGATGTTAGCGGTTTCCCTCGTCACCTCTGACCTCTGCCAGGCTGTTTACAGCTGTGCCGCCTATTAGCAAAGGAAGTCGCATTCTGATCGTCTCTCTCCAACCGCGCTGGGCTTATGGTTAAGAACCCTCATAGCCTTTAGAAACGGACTCTGTTTTTTTCTTTTTTTTTCCTTGAACAGCTCCCCTCTATTACATAAGCCTTCCACTCAAGCAGCTCTGTGCAGCTGCATACCACAGATCCCGAGTCTTACAAGGTTGTTTTTCTCCTCAGCTTACAGTAGTCAGCCCAGTCCACTTAGGGATCATACTTTCCCAGAAATCAGCGTTTTATCAGCTCATGTACAGTAAATATTGGCTCACATTTCAGATGTATTCACTTACAAATACTAAACCAGGAACATGCAATTATTATTTATTCATGAAACTCCCAAGAGTTATGCAAGAACCTTTGAACTCATTGACACGGAACCTCTTTTATGAATGTTTGTATTTGACCTTATTTTGACTTTTATTTTTTTCAGGTGAGAAGCCCTACAGGTGTTCATGGGAGGGCTGTGACTGGCGCTTTGCACGAAGTGATGAACTAACCCGACACTTCAGGAAGCACACTGGAGCAAAGCCATTTAAATGCAATCACTGCGACAGGTGAGATCTTGTTTTTCATCTTTCATGGATGTATTTTACCTTTAAGACACCATGAATCAAACAGTCTTTGTCTTGTTGCCTTTTCTGCTAAACACTCCTTCATTAACATAGAGAACCAAAGGTTGCTTGTAATAACGGGTTCTAAGAAGTGGAGTAAAGGAAAGCTGAACTTCTTGAACTTCTTGTCAAGTTCAAGAAGTTTCCTGAAAGCAAATATTGGATTGGAAATAGTTTAAATCATTAGAGCTGGTTGGATCCCAAAAGTTGCTTTTCCATTCTTTGCAGTTCAGCAAATGTTTTTTTTTTTTTTTTGCACAGAACCCATTCATTGGGATTAAAAGAAAATAAAGTTTGCAGTTAAATTTAAGGTTACGCAAAATATGCATTTCTAAAGTTTAGATTTTAGATGCTAATCCCAGCTGACTCAGCTGTTTATAACCGGAACCATCAAAATAATTTGACAATTTAAAACATTTCATTGTAGTCAAATTTTTTTCTTGATGCTTTTAAAATATATATGCAGGATTTTTTAGTAGAGTAAAAATAAATTATCCAAAACTTGTTATGCTAACTATAATGGGACAACAATGGAAATATTTTAAATATTTGTCATTTTTAAAGTGAGTTTTATTTCTCTCTCTACTAGGTGTTTCTCCCGTTCGGACCACCTGGCGCTGCACATGAAGAGGCACATCTAAGATGGCCTCCATGTTGAGAGCTCTGAGGGATGAGTCTGGTTGATTGTCCCGACCAGTTGGGAATCAGCAAGGCCGGTGTATCCGGGGAGCATTAACAGGGACACCGCTGTGTTCCAGTCAGTGGAAAGACATGAAGCAACACAGGCTATTATTTGCACCATACTTTGTGCCTCCAACACCTCGCTGTGGTGATTGCTCTTAAAAGGCTTTTACAGAGGAGCAGGGGGTGAAAAGAGAAGATGGGAAAGATCTTGGCTGGAGTTTATGGAAAGAGACTCTTCTGTATGGTGTTAAATGCTTTTCTTTTGTTTTTCTGTTTTTCCTGGAAGATTATGGGACTTCAGGAGTGGGGGTGCTGTTCCTCCACTGACGGTGTGTTTGCCTGTACACATGGGACTCTGAGTGCCTGTGACTGGATGCCTGTGCTGGCTTTATGGAGTGGCTGGAGCTTGCGAGTGAATGACATGAAAGGGGGGATGTTATACAACCACGGTTTTCTTGTTGGGGAGGGAAGGGAGGAAAAGGGGCAAGAGGATGACCTGATGTAAGAATGAATGCAAGCAAAGAATTCTGTCTGTGTTGGTCTGTTCGCTAAGGCAGGGAGTGAGGGGTTGTTTGCTGGAGTCGATTCCTTTTGTTTTTCTGGTTTCTTTGTCCAAAGGACGACCCCTGTCTGCCTGGAGGTGGAATTACAGCTCCCTGTCTGAACTTGGGAGGTTGTTTTGTTTAGTGCAGCTATTAAATGTGCAATGTATTACGTGGCCTGTCTCACAACATACACGTTATAAAGCTCATTTTGTTGTCCATTGTGTAAGCCTTGTATCCAAAAAGACAAAAACAAACAAAAAAACTATTGTACACTAACACTTATGACCATTTTAGCAGCCGTTGCATGGGATCTGGGGATGTGTTGCTCACTTGTGTGCGTAGAGGACAACAAAATTCCATTCAAGTGCAGCTACTTTCATGTTACTCGGCATCATACTATTGTAAAAAACATAAGGCAGTCTTGGTTTTTTTGTTATTTTAAGAAATTGGGGATACCACTATTGCTTAGCAACTGTCTTGGTTGAGGGTTTTTATTTTGTTCCTTTTCCCTCACATTTGCTTTTCTCTTTTGTTCTGTCTGTAAATGCACTGTTGACCTTACTGATGCCTTATGTAAGTGGCCTTGTCCTGTTAAAAAGATCACTCCCTCACACATACGCGCACCAAACGGCCATTGCTAATGCAATAGTGCGTTTACTGAATAGCTTTACAAAGGCTCTTATCCATACACTTGCACCTTTCTTTTGTTTCCTCCAAACTTTTGAACAGTAAAAAGAAAACCTACAAAAAATACTATGATATCAGCTTCACAATGACTGCCGCTTTTCCATATCTGTCACTTCTTTTCCTTGAATACATCAGAACAAATCATATTCTAAATGATTCCAATTTGAGACAGAGTTGTGGAGCCTCTGGGAGAAAAAAAATCACCTTTATAGTGGTTTACTACTATGTAGTATAAGACGATGTGGATGCACTGCAGATAAACTGTAAGCTGCTGTTAAAGGTACAGAGCCTTGGAAACATGTTCTCGTGAGATGTGCATTTGGTCGCATAAGCAGTGAGGGGATAGCATTTACAGCAAACACATCAGGGCCGTTTGTAATAGTCGATGTGTTCTCTGGAATAATAGATGTGGTATGAGACGATGACAGCAGTCTTAATCACGAGTCTGTTATTATGTATGTTTTGTCTCGCTTTGCTCTCAACGTGAGTCAGTATTTTTCCTCAGTCCCAGTTCAAACAACCCTTAATCTGACTAAACGGTACCAAGACCAGTCTAACCAGTTCAGCTGTGCTTCAGGTCAACGGGTTTCTGTCTGAAGACTGAAACCAACTTCACTTGCACATTCAAGCCTAAGTTAAAGGTATTTTTTGAGGTCGTTTAATCCCCATTTGCCAACTGAGACAAAATATTTCCTCCTGGATTATGAAGACATAAAACAAAGTGTTAAAAATGAACATAATTCGTTTGTATCTCCATATCAGTTGGCATCACAGGTAGCCTTGTGATAACCTTTTTGCAGGTTAACCTGTTGTAGATTAATAAAAAATCAGTTGGTAATGCTTCTTTTTTTACACTGAGAAATGTCAAAAGATGCAATTATGCATTTGTTGTTTAAAAAGGCCATTTTGTAAGAAAGCATATATTTTAACGGGAATGGGACCAAAAGCAAGCGCAGTGAGTCATTTCTAAATAAAACCCATAAAAGGCTGAAGAATTACTGTAAAATAGATGCACTCCATTTTTGTTTTCATTTGTTTGTGAAACTTTTTTTGTCATGGGAGAAAAATTAAGATTGAGCAATGCACATTATCAGATGGCTTCAATAGCGCCTACACGTGTGGCCTGTCATTTTTCAAGAAGAAAAAAAAAACAACTTTATAGATGTGAAATGCTCTGGACACTTGAATTGTCATCATGTTGCCCGTATAATTTTAATGAAATTGTTATTTACCTGTAATTTCTTTCTCTCAACTTTTCAAAGACTTGCAAATATACCCTGTCTTTAGCTAGAATTAAAACAAAAATATTGGATAAACATGGAAAATATGAGGCTCTATTTTTGTTTGTTTTATGGCATAACAAGATTTTTTTCATTTGAAATTGTTTTGTAAAATAGTTTCTGTATGAATGTATTTTTTATTGAAAAATGGATAAAAGACTTTATTGGTTCTACTTGTGTCTGTTGTTTCTTCTCTGCTGCTTTCATCACAAGCGTCCGATGGGAATAACATGTTTATGGTATATCTCACAGTTTCCATAGGTGGAGTTATTTTTCTCTCCCTCCCTTCACATAGAGGTTAAAGTCAGGGTCCACAGCAGAACTGGAGGAACTGGTAGTGGTTGAGTCACTGGTGTTTTAGAGGGTTCTTTCCTGGAAAATACTTATTTTTTAAACTAGCTTGACGTTATCTTTAACAATGCATGCCTTTATTTCTGCCTCATGAAATATCTGGAGACCCAAAATTGATTTGTGGAATAATATGAAAAAATAGTGGTAAAATAAAAGTACACAGAAATGCAGCATTTTAAGAAGTAATCCTGGGGATGCAACACTGAACACATTTTTTCTTTAATAAATGTTAAAACATCCACCATATCATGGCGCAAATATTTGATTCCTTTGGTGTTTTAAAGTTCATTTAGAAGAACCAAACAATCAGATTTCATCTATCCTACTAAACTAACTAAACATGGACTGCCATGCTAAAGAAAAGTGTCTTTCTGCTTGAACTTAATCACCTTTTTTTTGTATTTTGTTGGTAACTGATCAACAAAAACTAGTGAAGAATTATGCAGATAAGGGAAAATGATTCATGGTTTTCTTTATAGTTTTATCAGAAAAAAACTGAAAAGTGTTACCTTGATTTGTATTCAGATCACATTGGAAAATAATTCAAACTCCATCTAGTTGCCATAGATTCTCTATTAGATTTAGGTCTGGACTTTGACTTTGCCATTTTAACACATAACTATAAACTGATCTCAAATATTCCATCTTGCTGTATATTTTGGTTTGCTGAAAACTTCCCTGTCTTTCCTGGGATAAAAGCATCCCACAGGATGATGCTTCCAGACATATTTTGTTTCTGTTGCTTAATCTGACAGAAAATAAAAATAAATTGGTCAAAGATGTGTAAATGGTGACGAGGGGAGAATTTTATGTAATGAGTTTTTCCAAGGATAAGAACAAATTTGAAGTTTGTAACAATTTATTGTACCCAAAGTCTGATTTAACACTCCAGAGGTTTTATGCTGTCAAACGTTTATCTTTTTTCAGTGTAATACTCAGTATATACTTTTCCTTGTATTTTTCACAAAAATGTGATAGCATTTCCAGTTATCTGAGAGAACTTCTAATGAGCATAATGGGCAAAGAACAGAAGAGGTTATAAAGGGGTTCCTTTGAATACCAAGACTGTATTCACAAATACAACTGAAAATATTGATACATGTAAGTAAAGAAAAAAAACAGTAGGCTGTCTTTTCTTCCACATATATTATTTATCAGGATGATGCACTGATATTTCTATCCCAAATTTAACATTGAAGAAGAATACGAGCTGTGGAGGAATCCACGTTGTGAGGACAATCTGTTCCTCCTGTTACAGCCAACAGCACAGAATTTTCATCAAACTCTCCAAGAAATTCATGCAAATGAAGTTGTGCCACAAACAAACCGCTGATAAGAGCTCCACGCACTACAGAGACAAATAGCCTCTTCATCTCCAATTGCAAGCATAAACTGCCTAAGCTTAAACACTGCTCTGCCGAGCCCGCCGTGCGCCATGCCCCAGAGCTCCTGAATAATTGAAGTGCTCTCAAGAGACTTTCTTTCTTTTTGTCTATGTATTTATTGATATTTTATTTATTTAAACAAGAATAAAACCAGTGATTTAGTTCCCCAAAAAGAGGAGAAAAGTGTTTGCACTATGTGTAAGTGAAATAAAATGACCTCGAATTCAGTAATGATGGTGACTTAATATTTGGGAAGAGGCCAAAACATTTTTCTGCCCTCAGTTATCTAGTATGCAAAACACAGACATTTGTATCAATTAAAAATTCATGACTGTGACACATTCAAATTGACCTTATTTCCAGAGGTATTACACTTCCCACTGTGCACAATTAGAGACAGCCATGGTGTGTTAATTTGGTCAGTGTAGCAGAGAAAGTGAATCAGTTTCATTAAAGCAAACCTGAGTGATAGCCTAATATCACAAACATACCAACGTGCTGATGCCGTAAACTATAGTTACCAAACTGCTGCTTGTTTCAGGACATGGAGGAAAATGTATGATTTATATTTTTTTTATTTAATCAAAATATGTCTGTTCTTTTTGTTTGGTTATTTATTTTGTATTTATTTTTGTCTTTCCCAAGGGAAGAGTTACTGATAAGCCTCGAACTCTTCATTTTTCCATTCCAACTTTGGAGGAAAAAGCTGTTCCAAAGCTTTTATAATGAAAATGCTGGGATACGTATGTAAACTTCACAGAATGGAGTTACACGCCACTGCTTTACGTCCTATAGCTGTCCCACAAGAGGTAAAACAATTATTAGCAGAATAAATTTTAAAAATAGCCAATCCAAGCATTCGACATGCTGCAGTGAGTGAATATTCCTTATCATTAAAAGTGAATTGACCCTTTTTACTGTCACTACCTGCTTGTTCAGAATAAGAGTTTGCTGTGATGTAATTAACTTGTTCAATTTCCACCTTCCAATCAGCTATGAGATTCCACCAGGTAATGGAGGATTGAAGTTGACCCACC